CACGCCAGAGAATTTCTGGAAGCTTGGTATTCATCGGAAAACTCTGTCAACCGACACATTGACATCGATCAAGTCTACACCCCCATGCAACATAAGGACCAATCAGCGCTAAGAAAGCGGGTTTTGTCACGTCACCACAGGACGACAGTAACAATTAGACCGATCGATCAACAACCAGCCGTCAGACTACTCGCGTCCACCTCATCCCCTATCGATACAAGGCGAACAAACATCAGCCAATCAGACAACGTCACATCTCTACATGAGTCAACGACCTATATAAGGAAAGGGACACTCGTCAGCGCTCACCCAGTTACTGCATTGGGAATGTCACCTCGACTGGTGATGAAACGTTTGCAATACAATTGCCAAGCTCGGCGAACAACTGAACACCATATATATATATACAGAGAAACGCCTCTGATACTTACACTCCTTTTCGCTTCTGCTTTCCGAGTTATAGATTAATCGCTGTATGTATTTTTGTATCGCCTGATTCCTTTCAGATCCGCCTCATATTTCGTGATGGTTAGGGAAGGAGTTCGCTCTCGTCAGCTGTTCGCTCGTTGATGCGTTAACGATCTCCCTTTGTCTTTCTATTTTTTGTCGGAGTCTCGTGCTACGGGTGAGCTTTTCTTTCCCACGTCTCTTTCCGAAATCTCTGTGATACGAACTTTTTCCAGACAGTTCTCGAATTTTCTCGATCGCAATCAATGGATCGTTTGCACTGTCTTTCCTTCTCATGAATGCGCGCGCGCACACATCCACCACACATCAGTCTATCCGCTGATATGAAGCAATTGAATAAAAAATACCGGTGTTTTTGTTGTTGTAGTAGTTGTTGTTATCAAAAACAAAACGCATATAATTTTTGATTTCCATCATTGTTTCATACGTATTCTCAAAATCGAACAACCGCTATTGTCGTGCACATCATATAGTAGTTGTTATCGTAACTTCTGAAAATACGAAGGCAATTGGAATAAGCAGTCCGTCAGAGCTTGGATGCAGTTGTCCAATTTCGAATCCGTGGTTGACCGTGAGAGAGAGAGAGAGAGAGTACAAAAACGAACACATTGTGCAAAACGATGCCAAGCATTTGAAGAAAGCGGATTACCCGGGGCGCGAGGCTGCTGGGAGCGTAAGAAGCAATTTCTGGGCCATAAAAATATGTCGATATTAACTGGTGGTTCTGGCTATCAAATGGGTCATACATTGTCACAAATAGGTTAACAGGTGTAAGAAACGGTAGG